ATGTGATAATCATCAGGGCTTTGTTTTGTTTTATTTTCTTTGACGCGAGCATATCCAGTGTTATGAATTTAATTCTATCCTTCAGACATACTTCAGGAACCCATTTTGTAGATGCCAGCTTCTTCTGCAGAAAGGGAATTTTTTCCCCCCAGGTCAATTCTCCAGGTACATATCACACCTTAAATTTCAAAGAAAGGCATTTAAACGTTAGCATCACACTCAGGGTCTTGAGCCTTGGTACCCGTACTGAGAAGGAAAACACACTCCTGTAAATGCAGGTATGAAGACACACACACACACACACACTCACAGCAAGCAGTCAGTGGCTTAAAAGTGGTGACCTCCCCCTGAAAAACTAAAAAATTTAGAATGTCACTCCTCCATTCCGCCCTCGGAACGAGAAAGAAGACAAACCAGGTCTGCCCGCTGCAGAGTGAGCTACTAGAACAGACTTTCCATCGTCTGATCTGAGCCCTGAGCACACACTCCCCGGTCCCGAACCGGACGACTGACAGGTCAGGGTAGGAGCCCCGTCCCCACTTCGGCCCGGTCCACACCAGCTTCCCTTCACAGGGCATGGGATGTGAATCAACAAATGACAACAGAAGAAAGAAACTATTATACGTTCCTCTTACAAGCAAATGCCGTTAATATTAAGCTTACTTTTTGCCTTACATTTTCCTAGTCGTGGGGAAGTTGAACCACACAGTGATGTGATAATCATCAGGGTTTTGTTTTGTTTTATTTTCTTTGACGCGAGCATATCCAGTGTTATGAATTTAAATTCTATCCTTCAGACATACTTCAGGAACCCATTTTGTAGATGCCAGCTTCTTCTGCAGAAAGGGAATTTTTTCCCCCCAGGTCAATTCTCCAGGTACATATCTTACCCGGAGGCTTCTGGCGTTTCCTTTGAGAAAACGGGAAAAAAAAAAATTTCACGAGCGTCGAGGCGCTGCAAGTCGCTGTCATGATCCGTCGAATGAGATCCCCCTCGACTCCATCCCTTCAGCGGCGTGTCCAAACTCCGAGGCATCCTCAGCGGAGGTTTTCCATGTTGACAGATCTCTCGCCTCCACAAAATGGGGCCGCGGCGGCGGCCGCCGTCTCCTCTATGGGCGCCGCCATTTTGTGAGGCGGCGGCAGAGCGGGGTGTGTGTAATGGTTGAATAGAGTGACCCCCTCTAGGGAATCCCCGGCGCTGACGGTTACGTAAGGGGCTGTGCGCAAGTGCGGCGCTCAGG